TGCCATTCTCAAACAACTATAGTAGGGGAACAGAGCGGTCTGTGGTGTTAGGTACCGACATCATATCCGAACGATGAAGGACGAACCAAGCCATCAAATAAGTGTATGGAAGCTCCACCTTAATAAGAGGAATCCGATGAAGGACGAACCAAGCCATCAAATAAGTGTATGGAAGCTCCACCTTAATAAGAGGAATCCGAGCCGACAGTTCACCTTCTTTCTGTGTGAAAGCACTAGAAATCTGTCGAAGCCCTCGATGAATGTTAGCCACCATCACCGGAAGAATCGAAAGTTCCGCAAGCTGAACCGCTGGGTAGAGCACTTCCAATGGCAAAATGTCGCTGGACTGATACAGGACCACGCATTTCTTTAACCAGATAGCGAGGTAACCAGCAAGAAGGGTCATCGGCTGAATCGATGTGGTCACATGCCATAAGAATGATTTAAACTTGGTCCCTGCAGAAAAACCACTCTCGGGACTGCTAATGGTATAGGAGTGAGCGTCAATCTTCTTCAGTAGACCATTAACCTCTGAAGGAGTAAGCGTTGCCAGCTCACAAATAGCCTCGCCAGAATTGCTCTCTATATTTCTGAACAAATAACATGCGAACTGCTTTAGGCTCACCTGTGACTTAGTCCTCTTCGCTAAAGGCTCGGACTGCACCAAAGCAATATGGTAGTGACATGTGAGATCCCATAAAGTCTCATAGCGGTTGGGCATGCGGTCCTTCAGCTGACTCAATTCATGGTTGGAGGGAAAGTACTCCTGATATAGCATCTGGCCCATGGGCAAACCAGAAATCTTGTGCATCTCATGGAGAGCCAAGCCCAACTCTCCGTGCCTAGTCAGAAAAGTGTTCGAATCCGGGTTATAGAGCTCGTACAAAGCGAAGAAATGTTTAGCGCTGACGGGTAAACCATACATGGTGGAACGAATAGCTGCATATAGACTACAAGCGTGCAACTCCTCCCTCCATCGACTTAAGACGTAGTTCGTCATACGAGCCCACCAAAGCTTGTCTGAAGAATAGACCCAGCCATAGAATCTATAACGCGGCGCAGGCATCTCCCGTCCTAAGACAGCGAGATGATTCTTCAAAGTAGAAACAGAAGCAAGAAACTCGTTACGCGACGGTGTATCCAGCCCCAATACTCCAGGACGTAATCCAATGATATGACTCCTGCTCGAACCAGGAGCTGTCTGATGAGTAATATAGCCACAGTGAACGCTCTCATGCTCCTCCGTCAAACGCCACGACATCTCCCGTATCACGGCCTGACACCTGAGCTCAGTCAATGAGCGGTGACGAGAAATCTTAGGCAAATATAGAAAACCCTCGTCATCTTTATGAAGCCACTGCTCAACATCAATAAACACTGCATCAGGATCTTTAACAGAGTCACCGAATAAAAAGTCAGTCTTCCTGAGAGGCTGAACAGAGCTGGTATCCTTCACGAAAGGCGCATCAGTAATCAACTGTCGAAGAACTCGATGTCCACCTTCCTTCACCACTTGGGCAACTTCTGTCAATGTACCCGAAGCAAACTGAGGAGTAAGTGGAATAGGTGAAAAATCATCGGAGGTCGAATAATACTCGTCACGACGCCCGTCCACTGCATGAGATGAGAACGCTCCAGAGGGATATTCCACTGGAAACAAGCAATTAAGCATTTGTTAGTCTCAGTTATAAAAGGAAGTTGAACTCATCTTACGAATGGGTAAGATAGGGTCACTGTCTTATAAAGGGTGAGACGATTTGGCAACATTGTGCATTCATAAGATAGGGTATATCAACAATATATCCCTGCCTTATAAGGCACAATGCAGCTTCAAACCGCCCCCTTTATTTACTTTGAGATATGGTTTTGACCAATCAAAACCTATCTTTTAAAGCGTCAATCCTCACCAAGGAGAATCAAGGCTCTTCCCAATTGTCTCACCAAGGAGAACAAGACGGAGAAAAAGGATTAATCTACAAATTTCGAAATACGCCAAAAAAAAGAGCTCACCAGTGTACGAGAGAAGCACGCCATCAGCCGACGCAGTAGGGGATTGACCTCTCGGGATATGCGACATTGTGATCTGCAAAATAAATCAGGGGATCAGATACAAAAGAAAAGAAAAAAATTCCAGTTAGGGTGACAAACTCTGACCCTAAAATTTTACCCCCACTTTATTGCATTTAAACCCCTCAGATCTCCAAATTCTACCCCCTGAAATATGAGCTCGGGGCGTCAAATCACAACCCTAACCCTCATATACAATCCCACAAATTCATATATTGAATTAAACATGAACTACGCCAAAATTATGGAAGATTTACCTGAGGAGAAGCTCGAGAATCAAACAAAAATCAAATCTTGAAGGAGGCTCGAACCACGTGCTCGAGGGGCCTGAGAGAAAATTTTATATGGAGATTTTGAGGGATTTCTCAGTCTAAGATCAAGAGGAAAGATAGATCTAAGACAAATTTGAAGGTTTGAAGGAGAAAGGATGCACGAGGGAAGAGAAAACTCCAAAAAGTGGAGAGGGGGGGCCTAAAGAGAGGAAAAGAAGGTCTTTTAAAGTGATGAACCAGCCTTGAACCGGACCAGACCAGACTGAACCGGATCAGACCAAGTTGAACCAGACCAGACCAGGCTAAATCAGTTCAAAGGAGGCTGAACCAGGCCAAACCAGGCTGAACCAGACCAAACCAGGATGAATTAGTCTGAACCAGTCTTGAACCACTCCTGAACCAGTCTTGAACCAGGTTGAACCAGTCTTGAACCAGGTTGAACCAGTTCTAAACAAGTTTGAACCAGATTTGAACCAAAATTCAAATTGGAGCTGAACCGAGTATCGAAACGACTTCAAATCGACCGATGGTTCAGTCCCTTATTTATTCATTCCTCTCCCACACATTCGGAAAAGACTCGACGCCAACAATCGATGGTCAGCTAAAGATTAGAAAATCAGGAACCGACTTCAAGTTTAAAATTTCGACAACGGTCAGATAATAAATGCAGCACCAGAACCCTTGCAGACATTCGACAAAGCACCGAATAGCCTGAAGGATTAAAGGAATCAAGAATAGAAGCCATTCCAAGGTCCCGTTACACCGATTGAAGGTTGAGACAATCATATCCAAAGTATTCCAGACTCTTCTATAAAAGAATGAGGCTGAAATACTTTGGAGGGGGTATCTGTAAGCATAGAAAACTGCTTATAGGTCCCTTAACACAGCTCGGTACGGTGATTGGACAAACCAACGAACCATCGGGCGATATATCCAAGCATGATCGTTAGACCACAACACCGAAACCAAGTGACACGTGACGAAGCGGATTAACGAGGCGACGAGGTTAACGAACCGCACGCAAACAACAGAATACATCCAATCACGTGCCCAATCAAGCTAACGGGTCGATGAATCAACGAGTCATCCAACCGTAGAGATACATCCAATCACGTGCCCAATCAAGCTAACGGGTCGATGAATCAACGAGTCATCCAACCGTAGAGTCTACCACATCAAACAAGATCGGGAGCGACTCGAACTCGAACACCAAAGCGGATTTACTGCCAAATCAGGATTCAGACTGCCAAATCAGAGTCCAGATCAACAATGAAGTTCGGATAAACTGCGAAACCGAAAAACGGGCGAAGAAGCAAACACCTGGAGGGCCCGGCCAAAACCGAGCCACTCCTAGGTGGCTCGGGCAAAGCCGAGCCACCTCTTGGTGGCTCGGTGGCCGAGCCACCTGGGTGGCTCACCGAGCCACCTTTTGATGGCAGAGCTACATAGGTGGCCGAGCCCAGATCTGGGCCCAGATCTAAGCCCAGATCTGGTTTGAGGTGCCTATAAATAGACTTGAAGGCTCATTGTTTAAGAGGTTGGATTTTTTGTCAAACTTTGGAGGTGAAAACTCTGCTGGATTGAGAGCTAAACTTCGGAGTTTTGGAGCTTTGAAGACTTGGACTTTTCAGATCTGGTTCTTGGAGATCATCCACGCCAATAAGACAGGAGTTCGAGAGAGATCAGATCTGAGATCCACACGGTCATCCTCCAGATCAAAACTTGGTTTTTGATCCCGAGAAGAGTATCGATTTCACTTGGTCGATTTCGATTACTTAGGGCTATTATTTCCTTGGTGAAATAATCCCCTCGGCTGTAATTTCCTTCGTGAAATTACACCCGTCATACCGTGTAGATCTGATCGGATCAAGATCGCGCGGTGGTCCATGGATTAACCCCGGCGCAGGCAAAGAACCCACACAAGCAAGAGACCGCAAAACAGGATCTTGTGATTTGTTCCGAAAAAGGAAAGTTGTAATCTTTTAAGATTTTCTTTTTTTGATTTTGTTGTAACCGGATCTTATAAAAAGACCGGATCTTTTGTAACCGATAAATTGTTGCTCAAGAAAACAATGACATCAATGAAAATAATTTTTCCCGCGAACACATATCACGCACACGTATAATAACGTATATTGTCGCGCAAATAGCATAACGATATACCTCGTCCTACGAAACGCGATACAGCATGAAATCGCCACATGTTACCTTAAGATGTGTTTTTGACCAAGCAAAACACATCTGTGAAGCGTCAACCCTCACGAAGGAGGATGTCGGCTCTTCCTAATTGTCTCACCAAGGAGAACAAAGTGGGGATATAATACATAACATATTCATATGAATTTCTAAACAAGAAGGAAAGGTTCTTATTAACTAGGCGAGACGATTTAAATTGCATTATACACGCAAAGCATGATGTACATTGTCACATGAATAATGTGACAATATATCCGTCCTCCGGAGTATAATATAGCAGGAAATCGCCCCAAATTGATTAAGATGCATTTTGACCAAGCAAAACACATATGTGAAGTATCAACCCTCACGAAGGAGGATGTCAGCTCTTCTCAATTGCCTCACCAAGAAGAACAAAGCGGGGATGCAATATGTAACATGCTATGCCAATATTAAATTCACAAGCGAAAAATTATAAAAGTTTACCTGTGAAAGACAGGGGCTCCCTCTCAGGTGATTCAGCGACTGAGCGACCCCTCGGGATACGTGATCTCCTCGTCAACATAGCTAATCTGCAATAAAAATCAATAGTTCAATTAAATCAAGAATCAAGATATATGAACCCAAGTCTAAAAGGGAAATTGTGATTTTTTTTGACTGAAATATTATGAAGTAGAATTTTTCGGTTAAGAATCCAATTAAACCTACAATACCCCAAAATACAAGTAAAGGGTTTCGGGTCACCTTCAAGAACAAGGCTAGAGGTTCGTAACCCAAATACAAGCAGTGACCTCAGTTCATGCCCAAAATCGAACACCCAGTTTTAGTTTTCATCAAAATCAAACCCGTATTCTCAACCAAATACTCGAGTTTGGTCCAGGCCCCACGCATAACTGAGTTCAGTTTCGGTCAAGCTAAGGGTTTTGTTCAGGACTAAAAGCAATGTATTGGCTATCAGTACAATGCAGGCTAATGGCTTTGAATATCTCAACTTGCAATTAAATACACGAGGCCAAATTTTGAATTATGCCTAGAGCCGAAATCAAGCTTCAGGTGCTATTCAAGGGTCAAACTCAGACTGGGTTCTTACACATGCAATCAAAATCGAGCACCCAAGTTCAGCCTTTCATCGAGAGTCAAAAATTAAACATTGAGGCTCAAAACTTAAATCATCAAGCTAAATCATCCATCTAAAATTTAAGTTGGGGTTTACCTGAAATTAAAAAGAGAGAGCTCGAAGGTGGGTTAAGCACGAGAACCTTGAGCAAAGAAGAGAGCAATCTCAAGTTCCTATGCAAAAGACAGTTGAAGTGTCATGGTTAAAATCACACAAAATCAAGATCAACAGTGCAGTTCACATTCAAGAACGAAAACTAAAGGGCGGAGGCATTCAAACCCAAGCTAGTTTGGTCTTTCATCCAAAATCAAGCCAAAAGTTTTAGTTATCTTCCAAAAAACCAATCCCAAAACCGAAACCTATTCAAAAATTAAAACTAGGGTTTCGGCCATCCCTTTAAAACCAAAATCCAAGGATCAATTAACCAAAATTGAAGCTATGAAAGCGAAGTTTACCTGGGATCAAAGGAGGAACAAGCTTCAGTGATGAAAAATTGCAACAAGAAGTTCGAGCTCGAGAAACGGTGTTTGAAACCCTAGTTTCCTTGAGTGGGATCGATGAAATCAAAGAAGATGAAGAGGGGGAAAGCTTGGAAAACTCTTTATAGGGTTCTTAGAGGAGTTTCGAATTTGAAGGAGGCGGTTGGAGAGTCCAAGAAATCGCCGAAGTATGGAGCCTTTTAACCCTCGAAACTGATCTTCCCCTTTTGAGAGCGAGACATAGGGTAGTGTCTCGGACAAGCGAGACACATCCAGTTGTCTCGCACATGTGCGAGACACTCCAACTTGTCTTGCACACATGCGAGACACTCTAACGTGACTCGCACACGTATGGTAAACTCACACATGTCTCGCGCATAAGCTTGAGTCTGATGGGTGTTTTCGCACGTGTTTTCGCCCATTTTCACATGTTTTCGACGTATTTGAGGTACGTATCCATACTCTAATGGATATACGAGTCTAAAGTGTTTCTCATCCCTGACGGGAAGTTTTTGGAGAATATTACTCAGAATATTCTTAAGGATAACCCGATAACCTCCTGCAGGCACATGAGGTTAAACTAATTCCCAAAACTCCTAGGAGTATATGAGTATAAACTAGTCCTCCCTACTCCAACTTCTTAAGAGTTTAATCTGTGTAGACTCCAGTAAACGTACGAGTATAAACTATGTTAACGTCGGTCGATGCATTGCAAATGAAAGTCAACGCTGGTCAGCGCGCTGACGACTTTGCCAAAATAAGGCGCAGGATAAATTTCAAAATCAAAAAGGATGATTCTAGGGAGTTCAATCGCATTCAGATACAAACTCCTAATGAAGATGATTAGTTCAACGTCAACTCAATAACATGAGCTAAATTCAGAAATTTACACACCAACTTCTGTTCAAGATTTCGACAACGGTCAGACGATAAATACAACATCGGAAAAATTTTATCTATTCGACAAAATACTAAGTAGACTGAAAGCAGAAGAAGTCAAGAATTGAAGCTATTTACAGGTTCTTCTACGCGATCTCCTCGATAAAATACTGAAGGTATTGAACAGGGCCTATCTTATCCAAAGTATTCTAACCTCCTCTATAAAAGAATGAGGCTGAAACACTTTAGAGGGGGTATCTGTAGACGTCTAAAAATATCTATAGGTGTCCGAATACAGCTCGAGATGAAAAGAAGATGATGAACGTCATTATATAAGTCGGAGAGGATTATCCGAAGCCGTAAAGAAGCTAACGAGCGCCTAAAGCAAGTCAGCAAAGCGTACAAATGACAAAATACGTAAAACGACGAGAAACACAAGTCCGGAAAGCTTAAAAATGGTTAAGTCCCGAACTGTCCCATGTAGCTGCGGGACACCAAGTGGTGTCTCGCGCAACTGTGGGACACCAATTGGTGTCCCACGTCCACGCGGGTCACCATTGTCCGTCCCACACAGTTAGTTCTCGAAACGCGTTTTTGACGGGTTTATTGATATTTTTTGGGGTTTGTTCATTCCAGAGCATCCCAACTGACTTGATATCATGTCCAAATATGATTTGGCCGTTGTTAATTAAAGATGTGGCCAAATCCTTCATTCTCATCCAAATAACCACTTCCAATGCTCTATAAATACAAGCCTAGGGCCCTTATTCATGGGATTTGAAATTTTGGACGAAATGCTATCGGTTTGAAGAGTGATCCATGAATTTCAGAGAGGGCTAACAGATCTTAGCGAATCCCGGCATAAAGAAGGAGCAATTCGAAGGATCTGAAGCCTCAACCACTCTTTTCTTAGGATCAGGCTTGGACTTGAACTTGAGAAGAGTGATAATCTCGCTTGGTCGAGATTATCAGTTCTGTTCTTGTTTCATTTGTGAAGCAACAAACTTTTAGCCTTTCGATCAATCAGATCTGATCCGCGGTGGTCCACGGATAAACCCTGGTACAGGTAAAGATCCCACACAAACAAAGGCTAATAAATAGTTTTTGTATGTTGTTTCATAAAGTTGTGTTATGGTAATTTACCACCTAGAGATAAGAAAGTCGAAAGATTGACTATAAAGGCCCAAAAAGCCATGGTCCTGACCGGCTCAAGAAACTCAGAAGACCGGACCGAGGTCAGGTCTATTGACCATTCAAGCAGGCGAGCCCTCTCTCGACCAAGAGTCATCATAACTGACTCAAAGAACGAGACCAGTCGGTCCTCTGCAATTAAGACGAATCCCCGAGCGGACGTCTCGATGGCGTTCTCGTCCCAAAACTCACTCAGTTGTCGGTTGACAAATCATAGTGATGACTCATGGATCAATCCGCCTCGACTAAAGGGATAAGATCCGACCAAGACCACTTCAAATATCACTCGAAGCTACAACATTGACTAGTCCCATCAAGATCTACGCTCTGACAAGGATCTCCTGCACAAGCCGCCTATTCCACTCACTAGTCATTTCCCAGAGAATTGCCATGATGCTTCTCTATACACAAATGACTTCTCCTCCAATTCCTAGCCTTCACCTGGAGAAAGAAGGATGGCCACACATCTGACCTACCCTACACCCTGCCTACTCTGACAAACTCAGAGCACTGAGAAAACTTCTCTCCCCTGACGCTGAGTGACTTCCCTCCCAGTCGCCTGCCGACACCTGGAAGAAGAAAGATGACTCAGCAGCCTGCCTATTCATCTTTCAAACCGCCTCCTGTGCATAGTCAACAAAAGCCGAGGGTCAAACTCCCAAAGGCAAGGGGGCTATAAAAGGAGGTAAGGAAGGTAAAGGCGAAAGGAGGGCTCTGGCTACTTCTTCTTTCACCTTAGCTTTACTCCCCTTTTGATTTTTAATAATTCCAAGAGGAAAAACCCTTTACAAGGACCTCAATGGCCCAGGGCCTCTTAATAAACCCTCCCTAAGTTCATCAACTGACTTGATCGTCGGAGGTATCACGGGGGAAACTAGCCCTGTATTCCTGTGATTCTTAAATATGCAGGTTATCAGCTCACGCTGCGCGCTCAGAATCGGACATAAAGTCGGAGGAGGAGTCGACCCCAACATTCATCCTCTCCTTCTTCCCCACCGTCACCAGGATCGAAACTACATCCAACTACGGGAAACCCCCATCAACTGTTTATTTATGAGTATCAATAGTTTGGCACCCACTGTAGGGCCTACTTTCTTCTCTGAGAAGAAATTCCTAATTCCAAGTCGGGGCCTGATATTGTTCATTCTTGAAGAGTACCAGAATTGCACCGTTCAAGCTAAAAAAAACCTAGAATCGCATCATTCAAGCTAAGGAGGATTGGCCTATGGCTATGAGGAGCTAATGTGGGTATAGCCATTGGATGCTCCAGCAGCTTTCTGGGTAGTATTTGCCAAGTAGAACCCCGAAAGCCCTCCTAAGAAAAGACACACCACTATGATGCTTGTCTGGCTTAAGAATGAAGCATATGTTTCTAATCACCGCCACAGATGAAAGACCCCACCGCCTGGACAACCAAGAGGCCTGGGGTTGGATCATAAACAGAACCCCCAGGGGTAATGATCAGATCCAGTATCGCTCAAGCTCCTGTCGGTAATGGCTCCCCCGAACAAGGAGCAGCGATCAGGTGTGTGGTAGGCTCCTCAGACCATCACTACCTTCAAATGAGAGTCCACCAAGAGAGGGGTTGCGGGGAAAACTCAAGGGCTTGCCATCTGGTCTTCTCAGGAAGATTAACAGCTCTAGCCCCCAGTCGTTGCTCAGAACTGATAGAGTCGAAGTAAAACCTGGTGGTCGAAGCATGTGACTTGTACTCTCCCTGCAAGAAGGCTCCTCATTTATAGGATGGTCCGACCGTCGCTATCCCTAGAAACCTCAAGAGGAAAAATATGATCCCATCAAATTCCAGGGAACAAAGCGTCGGCATGTGGGGTTCTCTCCAACAAGAAGCCACCATCACAAAAGTTGTCTGGGCCCCCTCTGTCTAGCAACATCTTCCAAAAATCTCAAACAACGGAATATCGGGCCTAACAGAGCAACCGACGGTGGACAAGCAAGATCTGTTGAAAATCACCATGTCCACCGTCGAGCTATAAGGATCTCAGCAAAGCCTCCAAGCAGGTCCTTGACTGATGAGATGGCAAATATGCCAGCAACTCAATAACGCCTAAAAAGCCAAACGGCTCACCATCAAGAGAAAGAGCAAACCCTGATTCCGGGCGTTCCTCAGTTTGGCAACAAGGGCAGCTAATGAAGCAACGGCTGGCTCTCATCAAGGCAGGAAGGTTCACAGGCGAAAAGAAACAGACAAGGAAGCTCCGTCTCAGTAACTTTGTCCCCGGCCAAAAGCCGTCTCCAAGATGCACACGAACAAGAAACATGGAGTCGGCATCGCCTGACAGGATAAATGTGAATGAGTTATACTCTATCATGTATAAATTACAATAATCAATGAAAATGTCAAAAATGAAAAGAAAGACATCAAAGACCTAGTCAACTGGGCCCTCGGCTAAGTCGATAAAAGTCCTGGGTACCTCCTCAGGGTAAAACCAAGGCACGATCCTTTTTTGCCGATTCCCACAGTCGACTCTCGGCCCTGGGGAAATGAAATACCTTGGTACCTAATCTGGGTAAAACTAAGGCAAAACGACTCCTCAGTCGGTTACAAGACCTCGGTGCCGCCTCAGGATAGGCCCAACGCTCGACGACTTCTCAGTCAATAGTTTTGGAGCCTCCTCAGGGTAAAACCAAGGCAAAATGACTTCTCAGTCGGTATAAAGACCTTGGTACCTAATCTAGGTAAAACCAAGATAAAATGACTTCTCAGTCGGTACAAAGCCCTTGGTACCTCCTCAGGGTAAAACCAAGGCAAAACGACCTCTAAGTCGATACAAAGCCCTTGGTACCTCCTCAGGATAAAACCAAGGCAAAACGACTTCTCAGTCGGGAAAAAGCCCTTGGTAGCTCCTCAGGGTAAAACCAAGACAAAATGACTTCTCAGTCGGTATAAAGATCATAGTACCTCCTCAGGGTAAAACCAAGGAAAAACGACTTCTCAGTCAGTATAAAGACCTTAGTACCTCCTCAGGGTAAAACCAATGCAAAATGACTTCTCAGTCGGGAAAAAGCCCTTGGTACCTCCTCAGGGTAAAACCAAGGTAAAACAACTTCTCAGTCGGAAAAAAGCCCTTGGCTCTTCTTAAAGAATAAAATCTAAGGCAAAACGACATCTCAGTCAGCACAAAGCTCTTGGTACCTAGTCTGGGTAAA